ATACCTATGTGTATATGTATAGCATGTTTTCAGAATCTTATTACAATCATTGAGATGAAATCATGTTTCCTCCAGGACACAGTATGATAAAAAAAGTCCGACTAATTTAAAGTAATTTATCACCTGCTATGTGGTCCTGTTGGGGGCGCCTACATATATAAAATTTGTTGTTCAATTTGTAGTGTGACTATTTGGGGGCACTTCAGAAGGGTATTTTCATTTTTTTTATTCATCATTCTACAAACTTGTGGTTTTGATAAATTAGCCTTTTTTGGCGATTTCACCTTGGTTAAATAAATTTTTATTCCCGGTTGTGTTTATATTTCCAATATTTATGGAATACTATTCGAACACTAACTTACAATTTCATTTTGTCGATTATTTCAAAAATAGTACGTACGCACATAAACAGAATTTATGAAACGCAATCTCCCCAATAAATCCCAAAATCCCGAATCCAACCAATCCTCCATACATAGCAAATAAGGGAATTAAATTAATAAGAGAAATAAACTCTTCCCCAACAACGGTCTCAGCTTTTTTTAAGTGCGCCAAAATTTGCAAATCGGCTAAAACATCCAAGCCAAGCCAGTATCTCTCGAAGCCCCCTTCAATCAAATGAGTCATACTTTCCCTCATATTTTTCATAATATGGACAAAAAACTTGCAAAAATGGGCTTGCAAATTCAACTTCCCTTCCATCCTAAAGCACTTTCCCGCAAGACGAATCGACAACCTCTTGGCGACATAATCCGAATACGATTCGCGCAACACCCGCACAATCAGCGCCCTCTTATTTCTGCCCAAATATTTCTCCCCAACGACATCCGGTTCCCCCATGTCCACCACTAAAATACTCGTGTTCAACTTATCCAGAATTTTGCTCTGCTTAAAATCCTGATAATAACTGGACCACGAATCCAACTGATCGACCCCACCGTGTTGCTTGATATCCACCAGCTGAAATCCCGAATCGACCAGCTGTTTCAAAGTTTCGAGAGGTTTCAACTCCTCCTTTACGATTAGTTTACTCGTCAAATCGTTCTCATATTGGGACGAGAGGAAGATTATCATGAAGGAAAATATCACAAGAAGGGCGCCATTCTTCGAAACGTTTTGCTTCAATATGGCGCTTACTACATTAAAAATCCCGCCAATCATTGTACCATCTTTTAGTGACAGGAGCACGATAAAACTTCCCGAAATTAACAACCCGTAGAAAATAGCTGGTTCGAAAGCTTCCACCCAAGCGGAAAACTGTATCGATGTAGCACGCCGGGTAAGATCACAGTAAACTATGGACCACCCCTTAATCCCGATGAAATGGACGGAATCCGTGTTTTCATAAGAAAACACGTCATTCGGTACGAAATACACGTCCGAATAAATGTACCCAAACAAATTGCGCGAAATATCGTTCGATGTGTGAAGAACGTTAACGTTATTGTGGGAAGCGACGCTTTGCAACATGTTAACATTATGGGCGCATCGTGCCTTCATTTCGCGCGCGGTGGGACAGCTTTTGGCGTGTGCATGGGTCAATGTGCGCGGCCAGTTTGAATATATCTCAATATTACGTCGCCACAAGCTAGAGTAACTTTGTGGGCCGAGGGAAAACATGTGACTTGCAGAGTTAGCGGGAACTTCGATAATAGGAGGTATGCAGTACGCGCAAAAGTAAAACCATGTGGCGGCATGTTTGAATCTGTCCATGTGACAAAAGAGAACTCGAACCGGCCATTTTAGCAGACCTGAGAATATGTCTGCCACGGTAGGGGAGCGATTAAGAATGACGATATAATTCGATCGTAACTCACTTTCGTAGGTGTAGTGATTTGCCGACATGTAATTCGCCATGCGGAGCCAACCCTGGTCAGAAGGGCGGAGAAGGATGTGTAATACGCATTTGGCTCGGAAATGGATGCTGTTTCGGACAGGGGCTAGATCCGGTGCGGATGATGATTGACTCGTCCATGGAATTCGGTTGTGCGAATTGACGAGTAGTAAGGTTTCCAAGGTATCGATGATGGTTTGACTGGATGAGAAAAGCTTTATGTGGAAAACACAGTTGAATGGAATAGGAATTGAGTAAAAATGAGGCTTGATTTCTTCCACAATCACGCAAAAACTTTCTCGTGTAAGGAACGTTGCAAAAAATATGGTAAGCAAATGCATTATAAGTTTTCTCTCAATTTTCGGGTTTGTTTAAAAAGAAACACTCGACAACTTGATAGTCGAGTTTTGTACTAAAAAATACAGCGAAAGATGGTATCCAACTGATAGTCTGTCTCACTGAACAGAATCGAAATATATTATGGTTGAAGTATCCACTTTTTAAGTGTCACCCAATGTTACAGAAAATGTATGTAAGTGTCGCTCAACATGTTTTGAAGAATAAGTTTAACAATTATGTATTTGCTAAAAATTGTCATGAAGGCAAATATGTACGTATGCTTATATGCACGTGTGCTTAAGAGGGATCAGTGTAAAGGTAAATTGTACATATGCCTCGTGGCGTGGCGGGTATCGATTTACGTATGTACGTCCTGAAGAGGGATTGATCAGTAATATGTAATTAGTATTTTTTCAGTTACGACTATAAGTGTCCATTTCCTCGGCGTATTAGTCATTATTGAACACAGCAATTCACTGCCGGAGCAAATTATCCCGGGGTTTATGCATATTTCCAAGAATATGTAAATGTTAAAAAATGTAATGTTACTTATTCCTTATTCAGGGTTAAGAAAAATTAATCTAAATCCAAGGTAACCTTAACTGATGAATGTAATAATGAACAAAGTTTACTCGTGATCTATAGTTGCGTTACGCCAGTATGGATTTGAGAGCGATTTGCTTTACAAAACGGTAACACCATTTTTACGACTGAACAAAATAATTTGCAGTATTGGGAAAACTTTTGATGAAGCGAATCTCTTTATTAAATCCCTGGCCGCGTTCACTTCCCAGTTAAGTACGTATTTGGAATCGAGGTTAAGTGAAGAGGGATTTACCTGTATGACGGAAATTAAGAAATATGTTATTGTATATGAAATACAATAAGTTTTCACGTCAACTTCGTAACTGTCGTAAATGGCGTAAATGTACGACACTTGTGAAAATTCCAGGCTTTACTAATCTTCATAAATATACGCAAGGTTGAGGCAAATTTTTCGTTCGTACAAAAATATTTTACTTTTCGTACCACGCTGAGATTTCCTAATTGGAATAGTACTGATATCGCTGTTAGTGAAATCAAGTGATGGCTAAATTTAAGACCCATCTTTGGAACCCAAACTTGTATTCGAGAACGATTGATCCTCTACTAATCGAAAATGCGGTAAGGACACCATTTATACACATGGCATGATTTCCACTTCAGTTTGTACTTTTTCGACGAAATGTCATCAATTCCATCATAATCCCAGATCGATTATGAGGATTACGTGGAATTGAATTATCCACTTAAAACTGCGACATGTTACGCAATTGTCTGTCAGGGGTACACACTCTTAAAAATAAAGTTACCTTTATATTGCATTTTCGATTCATTCTAAATTAGACAACCATATTTGTACTAAATTGAGAATAACGTTACCTTGATAAAAAGTAAAGTTTATTATACTTATACATTGCTTAATCCAGAATTTAGAGTGAGTGCACATACTTATCTTTCAAAATGGTAAGCTTATTTTTAAGAGTGTACATATTTACGAAACTTTTCATCACAGAAAGTTTTACGTAAACAAATTTTTGCACACGCTACGGTACCACGGATTAATTCGGAAAGATTAGCACGTACTCCGCATCATATTGATTGATTGATGCTGTATTCAAGTAGCAAAAATATTAAACATACACTGTAAATAATCTGGTAATAAATATTCCCGAAAAGCACAAGTGTATAACTCTACCAAAGTTGTAATGATAAGTTGTACCCTGTGGTAATGGCTTGGTACTAAAGTTTTACCATCATAGTAACGAATTTTTACTACCTGGTAAAATACTATTACTAAATTTATTACAGAGAAATCATTACCTGCGTGACTTTACCGGATTATTAAGAGTGTACTTTTGCACAAGTGGCATATACAATAAGCAGCTACACGCAATACATGCATACATACATACATATGTAAGTATATGAATTAACTCTAACTCTACACAACATACATACTTATTTGATTAACTCATAATTTGCATACGTTTGATTGGTGCAACTGTACATACATAACAACCGCTTATATAATTCTGAAATATGTATTTATATATAAATCTACCTACATTTTTCTTGATATCATAATACCGAGAAATTAATATGCGTATGCAATACTATGAAAAATATAGTTTCGAGGTACTTTGACTCTCAGATTTCTTTGAAAAATCCTTATTTTTCTATTTGCTGGCCTCCACTTACTAGATATATGTATACAAGATATATTCAGGATTAGTACAGTATCTTGTTGTGCCATCCAAGCGTTAACTTTCACTGAAATCTTCGCCATTCACCGCACGGTAATAATGTTTCATTTGATGGTGGTAAACTTAACACAAGTCAGTAGAAATTTATCACCTTGCGGTGAAGTCACAGATACACACCGTTAGGTGACGATTAACACCGGATTTTTAAGAGTGTAACATTGTTAAGTTAAAATGTATCCGCCAGTTGGATAAATTTCGCCTAATTTTTGTGTCATCCTTTGTTTCACACAAATTTATTTAGAGCGTGTACATATTTACATACACACATTTGCACTCTAGGAATCCGCTGATAAGCGTGACTTTGGTGATGGAGGTTTTTGCCGTGTTGGTGGTGGTGAACTTTTGTGTGGTGATTGAGTACCACGGAGCTGGTGGTGGTTTATTTCCACGCGGTGACCAAGCTGTCACTGATCGGTGACGTATATATGATCACCATTCCTGTAGAGTAACTGCCGATGATAAAATTTCTTGGCGTGTACACATTCCTTATAATTAGTAATCACACCGATATCAACCACGTGTTATGAGCCGTAATTAAAAAAGATTTATTAAAACTTGAAAAAATTAAGCAATAAATCGAATAGTAATAGACACAGCCACAACGATGCAGATCATTATGCCGACAGCAAAAATCTTGACATTTCTTCGCCCCACGTTCCGCTCTAAATTTTCATTTGCCTGGCGTTGCATTTCCTGGATTCGTTGCTGGTCGTGTTGTTGGATGGGAAATGGTGGTTGAATTGTCTGCTGAAAAAATGGGTTTGGTCCGTTGTTCATGCTCCTCATGGGAATTGATTCACCGGGTGGGCACGATGCATCCATGTTGTTGTTCTCGGCATCCTGTGGTGCGTAAGGTGGTATTTCTAAAAAAAAGTACAAAAATTTGTAAAAACAGAGAATTTTTGAATTAATAAATTTGGATACATACAATAAATTTGTATGCGAGATAAAACTAGGAATTGTGTTTCTAATTGTAAGGGGTTACGTGATCATTGTAAATGAAAACTGAAAAAATACTAACTTTTCAAATTCGCCGTTCCAAAAAAAAGTTAAAAAAATTAAATATGACTAAATGCTAAAAAACAAATTTGTATAAGCTAAATACGAAAAGATGTAAGAGGTATGTACGTTACATACGATTAAGAAAAAATCCTGGAACTTTTTTTAAAAATTTTGAAAAAAATTGAAGACTTTTGACAAAAATAATTGAGACACTTTCCATATTTATTATTCATTAAGGGTTCACCTTCGCAACCGTGGGAAACGTTGTAAACAAATGGAGTAAACTGTACGACATTTACGACGATTCCATGCTTCGTAACTGATGGGTCTTTTTCTTCGGTAAAAAGATTTAGTACGATTATAAATTTTGAAAATTTCGAACACCATATTTGACATTCTGTTTGGTCAAGAAAAATTAGGATTACTTAAAATTAGAATAATTAAAATTTTAATTAAAATTAGAAGAATTAAAACTAGATTTAAAAAAACTTTACGGCCATATAATTTGTGAAGCCTTTTCACATCAACCGTTTGTAAATTTATTAAAAAATATTTCATTACGAATCAAAATTTACGAAGGTCGTGAAAACCCCCATTATAAATCCCTTCTTACCGGTAGGATACGGTGGCGGCAAATCTGCTTCCGGTGCATACACTCCTACTCCAAGCCATCTCTCGTCAAACACTGGGGTATCTTGCTGCCCCGCATTTGGCGGCACATTTGAAAAAGCCGCTTGACCGCATGACCTCTCCTTGAGATACTTTGCCTCCTCGAGTATCCCATTCCCCTCGGTTCTCAAGCCTTCAAAAACCTCCACCGTCACAGGGGCGTTATCTGGTTCACTCAAATATTCCAGTCTTCGCGCCTCAATAATTTGGAGGTGCGCATGCGCCGTATATAGCTGACTTACTCCTACTTCTGCTTGAGCTTGGAACAGTTTCTTTACTGAGGACGGGTCCGGAATTATGGTTTGTTGCCAGTGTAATCCGGCGTTAAATTGGGTAGTTTTCACGACCACGTTTTGCACTTCGTTGTGCACCTGGATTTCTAGGGGGGTCGCGGCATATCGCGAGGGGAGTAACCTTGCCACATTTTGGTCAAGTTGAGCCTGTCGGGTGGCCAATTTTAGTTGAGCAACGACCAAGAAAGGATCCATTATTAAGGAAAGAAAAACTACTAATTTCAGATGTTTGTAAAAGGAATAAAGATCATAAAGTAAATGAGGTAATGGTTAAATATGATTGAGAGTATGTGTATATTTAAGTGCTGAGTAATGTAGTTGTATAAAAGTAGATAACCTTTTCATGGTTAAAGGACCTTGCGGATTGGCTGTCATCAATTTTATGTGAGTTAGGGTCTTATACTATCAAATCATATTTGTTTTATTCAAATTAAAAGTTCGAAAAAATTATTCATTCGTTTTTCATTTGTTCAAAATTTTAAAATTTATATTTATTCATGATTCATTTTATATCCATGTTATCTCAAATTAGTCTTATTAAATGGATTTCTCGATCTGCCCATGTATTAAACATGGCGTGAAAAATTAATAATGAATACAATTATTCATTTATTCTTCACGAATATATGTAGAACGAATGAATATTTACTCAAGATTCAAAAATAAAAAATATGTATATTAATCATATATTTATTTATTGAATAACGAATCAACAAATGAATATAAACAGAGATGTTTCCAATTGAATTGTACCAAACGTATGGATCACAGGGCAGAATAAGAGTTGAAAGTCTAGAGGAATTTTTCTCATTCTTGATGCACGGTCCCTGATTAGGATTCCATTAATTGCGAAAACATTAGATTAAATGAGCGTGATCGGTTCGCTTTGAATGCGTACATCCGATGTTGGATACCTGTGAGGTATTCTAGGTACATATTTAGATAAGCGCGATGACGTATGTATGCCGATAATATTTCTCACCTTATAGTGACAAACTTGACACCAGCCAGCGACAATTTGTCACCATGCGGGCAAGGTTTATCACCATTTCGTGAAAAACATTACCACCGCGCGGTGAAGTCACATATGCACACCGGTTGGTGACGATTTACACCGGATTTTTAATCTGGTCAATAATATCAACTTGTGTAGCGTAGGTCAGATATTTATGCATAACTGATACATAAATATGTACATATTATGAATATTTATATGCAGCAAAGTGCTCAAATTAATTATGTAAAAATTTAGGTTAAATTTATATTTCAAATAGTTACACCCAAGGTTGTGTACAATTATTATACGTATAGAGAAAAGTATACATGGAGAATTTTTATTTTGTTTTAGGAATTTAGGAATCTCAGATTTGTTTAGTAATCAGTAGGCTAAGTAATCAGTAGTTGTACAGAAATGCTGACACGTATTACATGCTCAAATCTATACATTCTGTGTATCTGTATATAACTATAACGCATGCAAAGAAGGAAAATGTGTTAAATGGTGGATGCAATACCAGGAAGGAATAATTCTGTACCAAGTTTAGGACAGAGTACAATTTTACATTTCTCAGAAATCTCTTTCTAAATTAAGAACAGTTTTAACCATTTTTGACCGACTTCGTTTATGTGCACATTGTTCTCTGAATGGGTTTCTACACGTGCACTTGGATACAATCGTATTTAAGGCACACAACGTTTGTGTGTATATATAAATATGTACCCACTGTTATTACGCATGTCTTTATATCTCTATACATATATATTTAGGTACATATTTACATATGTATGTGTGCATGTCCCTTAAATTGCTTATAAATAGCAATAATTTACGCTGACAAAACATGCAACCGTGATCAACCAGTCTTCATTTCGTTCAGAACTCTACCACTTTTACATTAAAGCTGGGACTGGCTAATAACCAAAATATTAGTCTCAATATTTACTAATTTGTTTCCTATTTTATCTTGAAGTTTGAGTAGAGACTCCTTTATCCATAAATCGTCTCAAGTAATAGTTTTTATCCATTCAGCTATCTCTACTCCGAATATTCAAATAAGCAGAAAGAATGTGCTGGAGAAAATCTGAGGCAAATGAGGAGGTGTCAGCGCAAGAAGACTTACTCATGCCGAGATTAATCGAGGAGCAGGTAATACTATATGTAAGACTAACAAATTAAGAATTGTAAGAATTGTATGTATTTGATACGTGTTTACAAATTTCTTCTTCAAAGTTGAACTGATCCTTGTTAAAGAAGTAAATCCAGTAAGTATTTACGTATTTATGTACCGACAGAGCTGGGAAAATCTAGATTAAAATAATCAAGATTAAGATTAAGATTAAGAATAATTAATCTTAATCCATAATTTTAATCAAGAAATTTGATCGTATTAATCAATAATTTTAATCTTAATCTCACAAGTCAATTTAATTAATTTAATTTTTAATCTTTAATCTTTGAATCTTCGACTTTAATTTTAATCACGATTAATATTATGATTACCATCACGCTATCTGTTACTCGACTGTCGACTCCTTGTAAATCTCTAAATTTCAACGCACGATCGTCTTTCAACACTGGAACCATTTTTAAAAATCAAAACAATTCTAAATTTCTGACAGGTTCCCTTCTTTGAAAGGAACGTTATTTAAAACTGTATTCTTTAAAAAGATTAAGAAATTTGCTGTCATTAAAAAAATTAATTTAATTTAAAAAATTAAGAGTTATTATTTTTTTGAAATTTAAAAACGCGTTGCATTTGAGGTGAGACTAATTTTTACTCGTATTACAAGTTATTGTATTCGCCTTAAATTTAGCTGATAAAAGTTTAATAATTTTGAATAACAATTTTGAAGCACCGATGCTTCATACTTTTATCAAATTTTAGAATTTATTATATAATATCGATGTAAACTATAAAAAAACGGCGATAAAATAAAATAATTCTTAATTATTATTATTAATCTAGATTAATTAATCTTTAGTCTTTAATCTGTGTCATAAAAATAGATTAATTTAATCTTAATAATTTAATTTAGTAGCGGAAGAATAATTTTAATCTTAATCTTAATCTCTGATTCGGGGATTTTTAATCTCAAATCTTAATTTTTAATCTCGAAACTCATTAATTTCCCAGCTCTGTGTACCGATGCAATGGTACATATGGTACGCAAATTTCGTAACGCAATGTTAAAAATATGAAAGTTGGAGTAGAATTACACTTCTTGCAATTATCCATTCCTTCATACATTCAGAATTCGGCTTGTTCACATGAAAACATGACGCAATGTACCGGATTGCTCATTTATGTAAGGGGTGCGTAGTTCGTAGGGTACATGCCGTACATATTTATCTATGATAAATGGGTTTATACATACCTAGAAAACCTGGATCTTAACCTCGAAATTATTTGAACAATTTGTCAATACTTGCAAATACCTTCAAATTTCTAGCCATGATTCATCATTTAGCACTTACCGGCGGTCTAATACAAATTTTAAACACTGTAAATGTTTCCATAGGGGAACCCTCCACGGAACCCTCCCCAGGAGGGTTTGCACGAGACGCTATTAACTTTGGGTAAGTGTGAATTTACATACTGTATAAACTTTACCTAAAAAATGAATAAACTTAAGTACTCTCTTGACTTTAGAACGAATTCGTAACTTGATGGATTCACAAGTTGAACTTGCAATTGCTTGTATTGAAAAGGAGTGTTCATCAGCTTTGGAGAAAGTGGCAGGTTTTTCTACTAATATTTTGCATTATTATTTATACACAATTATTTACATCTGCATCTAAAAATATGCGTATATACGTACCCGTAATTTGTGCTGTCTAGTGCATAGTGAAACCGGAACAGAACTTGCAGATAAACTTAAATCTTCAACCCTTCTGGAATTACAACGCGACTATTTTAACAGTCAACGATACCATGGTTTGGAATTAGGTGAGCGGATTTGTTATTTCTCCTGCATATGAAATTTTAATTTATTCTGATAAAATCATTGATAAATTTTATTCCACTATTTTCCAGCTTGCATCAACGCATATGTGGGTAAGCGTGAATTTTAATATTATCTACATATATATGTACAAGCATTACATAAATACGCATAATCGCATTATGTATCATAATTATAGTAAATTTTATACGAAGTAAAGCTTTTATTGCTTAACAGCTGCCAGATGGGCGCTTAACAACACCAAGAAAATCGTCTTGCATGCCCATAAAATGGTTGAGAAACAAAGACAAATTCTCTTGGATTCGGGAGCGTCGCTTGCCGTCGATACGTATCAACCACCAGAGCTGGAACCAGAATTTGAATTTGAACCAAGCCATTCTCCGGTTTAAAATCATTCTTTACCTAAATATATTTTATTAACTTCTGTAAAATTTGGCACAAATATTTCTGTACATGTTTTCACATTTATGTAACTGTATGTAAACAGCAAAATATTTTCATGCAAATATGTTTTGGTACCAAAATACATATACATGGGCAACAAAATTTATATTGCATGACTTGAACATAGGTCTCTGTTGGAATGAAGGTCCTATGTATTTGCTCATTAAATTCATGCACACAGTATCAGTACCAGATATTTACATCATCATATTTACAATGCGTTCATTATTGGATGCCAACCAGCAAAACAATTAAATTCGTACAGAGACAAGTGTGGACTTACTTATGAAGTTGCTGGGCGTACTCACTTCAACATCTCACATATTTGTGCATAGTCACTCTTTTAACAAACAAATACTAAATTTACAATACGATATAAAATTACAATACAATACAAAATTTACAACATAGAAAATTTTCCCAATAGACACATTCCTGTTTAATTGGAAAATATGTATTTGGCCGAAACGTTTGTGGCTTTCGATCTAAAATTTTTGCGAGATTTGGTAAACTTAAGAAAACTTTGCAAGTATGGTATTCATTTTTTGAGTAAATATGAAAACTCATGTATAGGATAATTATGTAGAATTGATTTAATTCCTCACAAAATTGGAATCAAATGATCATGCTCTTTCAATTTTCTTCGGAAATTTCAAAAATCCAAAACCATATTTTTATGCCAAACTAAATAAGCCGTAAAATGTCCCAACTACATAAATATTATTTTTCGTAAATTTTTTATTTGAATAAAAAATCCGGAATTTATTCAATGAATTTAATTCCCAATACAAAAATAATTAAAATTCCCATCGTTTTTTTTAGAATTTCCCATCTTCCAATTCAGTCCGAATAAGTTTATCTTTCCAATATAAAAAATATATTTCCTAATTGACTTCTTCCTTCAGGAAAAGAAAGGAAAAATTTATTTCCATTGTCTGAAGTTTCCGGCGTAGACTCCACCGAAAGCTGGGGCAGCGGCGTAAGCGCCAGCGGCGTATACTGGGGCGGCGTGGGCGTAGACGGGGGCAGCCTGGACGGCGACGGACTTAAGGAGTGGGGCCTGTGGGACGGCGAAGGACTTGACGATGTCGGGTTGTGGGATGGCGACAGATTTGACAAGGTCGGGTTGTGGGATGGTCACGTGTCGGACGAGGTCAGGTTGTGGGACGGTGATGGACTTGACGAGGTCGGGTTGTGGGACGGTCACTTGTCGGACAAGGTCGGGTTGTGGGACGGCGACAGTCTTGATAAGGTCGGGTTGACGGACTTCGATGGTCTTGAAGATTGGTGGTTGGGGAACCTCGACCTGGAAATGGATGGAGAAAATTGTTAGTCGGGTAATTAGCAGACATTTTGGGGGTAGAAATTTCCTATAGGAATAAAAATGCCGTGGTCAAATTCCCAATGGAAAATTCAGGATTTTTCGCCCCGAGAACAATTATTTCCCAATTGTAATTTTTAGACTTGAAATTTGCAAATGCGATGACTAAATTAGCACATTTTTGGGATTCTCAATGCGAAATTCCAAATTTAGCCACTTATTTCCCAATGGGAATTTTGAAACGGAACCGTCCCTCGAGCTCTTACCTGCTTGAAGATGGATGGTTGTGGAACATTGACGGTCTTGTAGAGGGGTGGTTGAGGGATGGTCTCAGTTCGGATGAGTGGGGCTTGTGGAACGTTGACGGTCTTGACCAATGGAGCTTGTGGGATGGTCTCAGTTCGGACAAGGGGAGCTTGTGGGACGTTGTAGGTCTAAAATCACGTATAGATAAAAATTAGTTAATTACAGTTAATTAACTAACTATTGATTAACTTCTTATCTACCTTGACAAGTGGGGCTTGTGGGTAAGCGACCGACTTGACGAGGGGGGCTTGTGGGACGGCGTAGGTCTTGACGATGGCTGGTGCTGGGGCAACAGCGATGGCTGGAGCGGCGTAACCGAATCCACCACCGTACAAGTTTCCGGCGGAGGCAGAAGCCACAAGGGCGAGGAGGGCGATACACTAAAATATTCGCAAAAAATTAGCACGTGCAAAATAAAATTTACTTTGCAAAATATGTTTCACTTACAGCCTTCATTTTGCTATTTTTGGTTTAGGAACTGGTAAACCGTTCACTAGAAGAGGAGAAGTGATAATGATCCATTTAAAGTGGAGCAGACTGTATTTATAGGTGAATCTCGTTCTCCAGTCAAGGGGCAGGCCAGCCAACCCACCCCACCCAGATTATCTAAAGGGCACGCGAAAAAATAATACATCAATAATTCGCCCCTGTGCAAAAATATTTGCACATCCATTCCTCTCCCTTTTGCACATGACGAGATAGCATACATACAAATTCGCACACAAAAGGAGCACTATTTGTTTCTTAATTAATGATTCAGATCGAAGCTCACCCTCACCCTCATCCTCGCAGCGTTATTTATTGGACGAGTAATTGACGGTCAGCCGCATAATGGTGGATGGTGAATCCCTTAAAGAATAAATTTACGAAATGATCGTCATCATCATCGCCGTCATGCATGGATGAATGTATCAATCAATCAATCAGTTCGGCAAAGAAGTGGTCATTATTTAGTTCTGGTATTGAACTTCCTCAGAAAAAAATAATCTTCTTGTCACCCTTCCTTCGCGTCAAGGCGATGTGATGGTGGAAATTGTGGAGATTGAATCAAATTCCTTAATTGGCGAGGCGATTCGATGTATGTACTTAATTCCATGTGAGGAAATCCTTCTCAATTCTTGTGGTGCTGCTGGATTTTATTTATTCATTCATTCTGCTAATTACATTTCAATGAAGAGAAGAAGAAAAAAATAAAGCTGTGGCGGCGTTGGCCACTTTTATGCAAATCATTGGCAAGCAGTAAATCATAAAATTGCAAGCTTACCAATTATTTCGTCAGATTGTGAGTATGTACTTATATAAATGTTTATGTCTGTCTGCATGTATGTAATGTCCTTAAGGTGGTAATATGCTATTTTTTGTCCGTATGTAATATTTTGGAGACATGAAATTCGTCTTAGCAGGAAGATAAAGTTGTCCAGGAGAGAATTGGGCATACTCGATTTTAATTGGTGAATCAATCAATCAGGAATTTATGTGTGCGTGCAGAAAATAAGTATCGATTTATTTACATGTGTAATTTAGTAGGGATGAAATAAATAAGTAACGTGTCACATGGGTGGTAGTGCATCCATGCATTTTGCGAGGGGGTTAATTTCATACATAAGTATTTATATCCACTCTTAGAAATCCAGTATTGAAATAATACCACGTGGTATTCGTGCATATATGACTCTACCAAAGTGGTATTGATACGGTGTAGTAATAACTCGGTGTAAAATTATTACCATATCGGTAGGAAATTTTTACGGACCGGTATAATGTTAATACCAAGGTGTAATAACTTTAATACCCACTAATACCCAGAAGTCAATATCTGCCTGACTAAATATGCCAGATTTCTAACAGTGCAGTAATTTCATTAATGTTGTATCAACATTTTGATTGGAAACGCATCGTATGCATGATATTTTTTGAGAAGCGAAGTGATCCTATCATTATTAAGATGCAGGCACGACATGCAATTTGCTCGTCGTCGTGATTCGAGATGGGATAAGAGGAGAAGAGAGTGGTGGTGGTGATGTGAGAAAGATGTAATAATAATGCAGGTAAAGTGTTTACTGGCAAGGTTGCAGTTGGCCGTGTTGAGGAAGGCAATTAACCTACTAGATCACCTGTATTGCTTGGTTTGGTTAGCTTGTTAGTGGTGAGTAAATCTGTGCAAGTGTGATGGTCATCTCTTCATCAGTTTCGATATGGAGGCAAGGAAAACGTTGCTTGTTCAAGTTTATCTTTTTTACAGCCAGCACTTTAAGGCGAATAGAATACAAGACAGGGTTGCTACTTATTTGAGATGAGGCAGTTGCATACATAGGACATTGTGGCCAGAATTTGCGAATTTTGGAAATCATGAAGACGCTTATAGAGTTAGAACATTGGACACTTAGAAATTATAACGTTGAAGGTATTCATGATTCCTTAGTATCACTTGTAGATCCTTTTCGCCTCGTAAAATAAGTTACGACGGTTACGAGATTTTTTAAGCGTTGTAAGATTTTGTCATAGAAAATTGCGTTAGAAGGTTACGATTTTTACGAAGCTTGACCCTTCCTTCTAAATAATTTTACTATAAGACAATTGTGAATACCCTCAAAAACTGTACGTAAGGGTTTCTTAAAGGGCTGTATATAATTTTGGAAATATGTACATACATACAAAAAATAAGTCCATGTGCATTGGGCTGACTCACATACATACATTTGGGGATATTCAAGACATATGTATTTACTTCTGAAACAACAAAAGATTGTCAAAAAGTTCTACCAATAATAATTGACATTCACTTAGGGTAAACTTTATATTGTTTCAAAAAAATTGCGGATTCGTTGCGATACTGACCAAGGGAACTCAATGACTTCACTTGTATTTCTGTGTGTAAAGAAATGCCAGGGTGTATAAGACGTTTAATATTCATTTTTTAGTTAACATTTACATACGTAAAAATTCATCAAAAATGATACGTCTTAATATTTAGTCTGAGGTGTGTGCAAAAAGTACATTCATACGTCTATTAGTCAATCAATCTTAAGAATACTTATGCTAAAAAACAAAGTCTTGGAAACCCTGACATTTCGCTTCCATCCAACACAACTTTATTAGTTTTCTTGATTTTTTCTTTATTTTGACAGGTTTTGCTTCATTGTTACGCATCGTTATGCCGACCGAGATAATTTATTGTGAGGCTGTGTATGAATCGATGAAATTAATGATGAAATTAATGAAATGGTCACTCTTGATTGGATGACCAGTGCCAATAATAAATAAATAAACAACAAATGATAATATAAAGGTTAATGTCTCTATGCAAATTTTATGCTAACCTTTAAAATCTAATGAAATACATAAAACTCACTCTGCTAAACGTGTCAATAATGATTTATTTGTCGTATGTCATTCATTCTGTGTGCTCACATGTGGCATTACTTATTAGCTGGTAACTTTGTTTTACTTGGAATTGAATAAGGTGTCATTAGGTATGAAAGGCAGAAAAAAGGTAATTGTAAGGTAATGTAAGGTCAGGCTGGTTCTTGCTTAATGAAATAGGTGTGTTATATGTCGTTTTTTATGTGCAATTGAGTAGGTATTACAGGTAATTGGGATTGGACTGGATTTGTGACCGTAAAGTGTGGAGATTAATGTAAAGATTAGGATTTATATATAAATATCGAAATTATTATTTGTGAAATGCTGAAACTGGTTTAAAATACGGTATGAATAGAATTTAAATTACATTGGCAATTAGTAATTACGTTAAGAATTCATAATTTTGAGAAAAATTATGGTTTAATGGTAATTATAGATTCGGTTTTATAAATGTACAGAAGTCGGTCATACACTCAAGCATGTGTTGCATGTTACCTGTTAACAATTAGTGGATACACTAATTGTTAATAATTTGTTTAAGTTTGTTTGTTGCTTGTATACTTAAACTTGCAATAATAAATTACACAAATCTGTAATTTCTAAATAGTTTCCTCGATATTGGCATATTGGCATGTTTTAGCATTGTCTTAGCTAATGTATGTACTAAGACATGAAAAGTTACATAAACTAAATAATTTATCTTAACAAATTGATAATTATGTGCATATGTATGAATGTATGCGTGGCTTGGTCCATGTTATACCTAGTGTAAATTAAAATTATTAATGTAGTCAGATGAGTAACAAAACAACTTACAAATTAAGGAAATCTACAATCTTCAGATAATTGTCGGCCGTGTGAATATCTAGTAAGTTCGTGAACACACATAGGTAGTTCCCATGATCGTCATAACAGAGTTTCTGGTAAAGTCAAGTAAAAAGTTGTAAGTAATTGGAGCTAAACATTTCTAATCTATCTACTTACACACAAATTTAGTGGTATTTCATATGTTTAAGAGGAAGAGAAGAAGAGAATTTTGTGAAGATGTAAGTGACCTTTGGCACACGTACATTTACATGCCTCTGAACAAAAGTTAAGTATTTGCATACATATTTATCAGGATTTATACATATGATATAAATATGAACATACATATTTGTAAATTACTGGCCGAGGTATTAATTTTTTGATTGTGCCCAAGCCACATGGACGTGAAAATATCGTGTAAAAACAGATTTTTATTGCGAATGCACAAAATCCAAATATATGTTTTTTTCAGCTTTTCATATATGTAACTAACTTATGTAATAGTACATAAGTAAGTATACACGTATAAATGCAAATATTTTAATTAATTGGCAAAGAAAAATATGCTGCGTAATAAGTACCCCACGCAAACCAGAGCCTTGAACTTGCCTCATTACTTTTCGGAAAGTTATTTAATGAAATGATAATAAAAACAAGTTGGAATTATTGCCAAACGACTTGAACTTGAATTTGAAACGAAGCAAAATTCAATGATTATTACAAAGTTTGTGAGAAATCGAGTACATATGTATGTAAATATGTTCGTGTTATCTAACTGAACTATGCGTGTGGTAATGTCATCATTAATGTAACTTAATTTCTTGTTAGAGTGTATCCATTATTTTGTAAAATGGCATAAACACTTAATTCCGCATAATTTAAATCCTTTTAGACGATAAATATCTGTACTTATAAGTAGAAGACATTGAGAAGTGAATATAGTTGAATATTAAATTGACTCTAACGATTAAACAACGCAACGTCATCACATTAAATTTTTTGCATCTTCATCATTCAATATCGCTAAAAATGAACAAGTTCAAGATTTTCAAACAATATTGTGATTTTGTAAATTGTATGTATTGTACGCAGCGGCGTAGCCAGGATTGGGCCTTGGGGGGGGGGGGCCCAGCCAAAAAAATATTTAGATTACCCTTTTTAGGCTTAAAATTTCTACGTCCACTCACTTCAATCGCTTTAACACAGGGTACAGATACATGGGTACACATATCCTAGCTTTAAGCGTCAGAAACCACTAACTATTAAATAGCACGCGATATTCTATGGCTGACATAATAGCGCCTCAAACATTTATTATCTGTAGTAAATTGTGTTTATCTAATTCATCCCAGTGGTTTTTTATGACAAACAAAATCAGATCACACATTAACGAGGGTCTGCAAACTTGGGTTAAAGTTTGAAGGTACCAA